ATTAACTATTAAGACTTGTAACCAATCTATTGTGTTATTTTTACCACGAGAATTATGGTGTAGTCTTGTTATCAGAAGCTACCGCTGTAAGTTGTTCAAATCGATGAACCATGTTCCTTCCGAGCGCTTCAACGGCACCCTTTGGCTTTCGGAACGACGGACTACTGGGCCCACAGTTTTGGACACGGAAGAGCTTGATGTTGGTGGAGTTCCACACCCCAACAGGGCCATTTGGCTTATTGGAATACGAACCTAGCGACACTGGCGACAACGACATCACGGAGTCTTTTAAATTAAAATTTTTTGATGAACCAATTTCTGTTTCATGTTGAAAAATAGCACCCCACAACACACTCTGATACCACCCTATTAGTTCTTTGGTCCATTTGAACTTCACAGGCACAAACTCGATATCATTTATATATAAATCATTATCCGTTAATAAAGACATGTTACCGATTTTGTCAATAATACTTTGTACGTCCAAATTAGACTTGTAATATTCGTCAAGAGTCCCACTACCTTTGAGATCTACTATACGATCTGAGATAGAATCAAGAACTGATATTATAGATCTTAACGGTAGATAGGGTAGCCATGTGGCTATCCATGCATCAGAAACTTCAAATACAGAACCACTAGACGGAGAAATTGTTGACGAAGAACCTGAAACGGCCGACCGGGAAGAGTTATTCAATAATTCATCCTCATTATCGCTATCGTTTAGCATAATGTTTTCACTACTCGAACTGACTATATTTTGGGCATTATCTTTCCCTTTCCCTTTACCTTGATCCACAGTAAAGCTAGACAATAATCGTAAGGAATTGATATTTCTTATAGCCACATATGTAAAAGCCTTATTTGATACCCGGGTTGAAATGCTTAAAATATTATTGAATATTTTTAGTAATAACTCTACCAAAAGATATCTATCTTTGCCCGCAAACAAAAACTTAGCTGACGAGAATGTGGTAAATAGTTGAAAAAGACCTGTTGAAGCTGTGTAGTCAATGTCAGTAATAAAAGGCGATATGTTATAAAGGCAATTAAGAAGATTAGGAACTAACATTTGCAAGTCTTGATTAGGTAAAGAAGCAACTTTACAAAGCTTGATTATAAAATAATCAGCGTATGATCCATGAAAAAAAGTTGAGGTTTTAGCACTAGCTGGTAGGAACCTGTACCCGTCAAATTTCTGTCCTAAACAAGACGAAAATTCTTTTATGGAAGTTAAATAGAGTAAAATGTAGGAGCAGATTCGAACGTGGCTTTGCTTTGTTATGTCAGTGCTAGATTCATTAAGGTGAAATAGAAGTAAAACCATAACATCAAGAGCTCGATTAGTTGAAATCATGTACTTTCTGAAATGTTTGTTACATTGAATTAATTCCCAAAATAGAATGGTCAATTCCAAGTCCCTACCTACCGAGATAAAACTACCTGTTAAAACGCTGCCTTGATATTGAATAGGTAGAGAAATCAATTTTAGTAAACAATCTGAGATGAACTGAAAATCCTGTACGCGATGTACTTTACCGAGAAAATGTCTAAACCAATTAATGAGATGTCGGTCTTGCTTGGGAGTGTCATCTCCATTCAAAAATACTGAGTCGGCCTTTGGTATAGGGTAAACTAATAGAAGATCCAGATATTGAAGACAATATGTCATGTAGGATTGTCTACCGCTAGAAGATAAAACATTTTCATATGGTGCCTTCCAACTTGGGCTGTATTTTAGCGTAGTATTTAGTAATGAACATAATATAGAAAGGGTGATATCAGCTTCTTGTTTATGAACCATATAGGATAGGAATTTTGATCCGGTATCCATCAATTGAATTGTAGGTGTATAAAGACAAGTGGAAGACAGAGTTATTAGTAGTCTTAGAAGCTCAAGCCTATTGTGCTCAATCTCCTCTGAAGGCGACAAAGCATACGTACATCCGATACCCATTTCCCAAATAGTTTGAGGGCTAGTGTCACCAGCTCTCTGAGAGGACATAGGCAGGGTGAATCCAGGAAAGAACAATAATTCGGAGCAGGTTTCGACTAAGAGTTCACCCAGAGACTTGTGTATGCCATCAATTGGGTCAGGCACTTTGTATTCAATTTTAGTCTTAGGCCCATCAGCACCCCTTTGATGCGTTAAAGTAGACGCTATTGGATCAAGAGTCAAAATAATTCTAGGTCTTGTTTTATTCCAAAAAAAATCTTTTTCCCATTGCCCTAAGCCAGGATCCTCAAAGATAAACGGTAATACCCGACTCAGCACTCGCACACAGTTTAGTAGTTGACCCGGCAAATCCATTTCAGGATCAAGAAAAGACGGGGTGCTTTTTAAAAAGAACAATCTACCGAGAACATTCAACAACAAATTTTCCACATTCTCTGGCCTATCTTGTCGAGCTCGCGTTATATCTGGGGCTGTCAATAGGTTGAAAACATCACTCGCCGAAGACGGTTGGGTCCAGTATTTGGTCCAATAATCATCGTCAAAAGGAATATTAGCATCCTCAAACAAGCGAAACACGTGTGTTTTAAAGGACAATTTAGATTCGGTATTTCCCATTATACCGCTGTCTAAAAAGTACTCTATCGTCTATACGGTCAATTTGAAATTGATGCTGGTGAACTGATGCCAGGGTTCCTCCGGTATCTAAGGTTGCTAGGGCAACAACTATCGTATGCATATACTTAGGTCAGATCTTCCGATTGGCTGCATTGAACTTATATATGACTGTGTTAAGACAGGGAATTATTGAATGAATGCAACCAATATGATATTAAGCGCGCATTATTTCTGGCTATCGGCTATTTCGTCAATACATAAAATGGGATCAGAAGTGATTTATTTTTTATTCTTTTCAAATCTTTTCTAAAGTAAATCAAAACAATATGTCATCTATTGTCGTTGTTGGAGCTGGCGTTATTGGACTGTCCTGCGCTCTTCGTTTAGCTGAGGATGGATATGATATTACGGTAATTGCGACTCAATACCCTACTGATCCATTATCTATTAACTACACTTCTTCCTGGGCTGGCGCTCATTTCAGACCCTTTCCCTCTAAAGAAGAATCAGATCTTCGGGAGGCTAGCTACACCAGAGCCACACAAGCTTACATGACTGACTTGGCCCAAACCAGCCCTGAATCCTCGGTGGTCATCACTCAAGGTGAAGACTGGCTAGAAACCCCCGACCAATACTACAAAGAATTGGCGCACAACTTTGGGCACGACCTTCCTAACTTTGAGGTTTTAGACAAACAAGTTGTCAAATCAAACTTTCCCTCGAACGTAAACTGGGTCTGTCGTTATACCACATGGTGTCTTAATGCTCCTCTTTATATTCAGTACTTGGCACGTCGTCTTCAAATGAATTATCATGCTAAGTTTATCGTGCACACCCTCAAGTCTCTCTCGGAAGTCGATGATTTGGTTCCAGTAAATGCGGGTATTATCAATTGTTCAGGTACAGGCTTACAATTATCAGGCCAATACGATCCCAAATGCTTCCCTATTCGAGGCCAAACTCTGTTAGTTAGGCCTCCGAAGGGGAAGTTACATCCCTATAGTCGTAAGACCATCACTCACCAGGCTGCTAATGGCCTTTGGACCTTTGTTATCCCTCGCCCTCTTGACGGTGGCTATATTATTGGTGGTACGAAACAACCAGGTGATATGTTACCAACCCCTCGTGAGAAAGATACTAGAGAGCTAATGGCTCGTGCATATACCCTTTATCCGGAGCTTGCCGATGAAAATGGCAATTATGATGTCATACGTGTAAACGTAGGTAGAAGACCCGCCCGTGAAGGTGGCAGTCGTGTCGAACTAGAACACTACGGAGGTAATAACGACAAGTGGGTTGTACACGCCTACGGTCTTGGCGGCATGGGTTTTGAAACTAGTCGGGGTGTAGCTGATCATGTGGCAAAATTAGTAAGATCAGCTAGCCAGGGAGCCAAGGCCAAGCTATAGGGATTTTACATCAAGAATTGCGAAAGGTAATGAGTTGATATTTTTGGACGGGATATCGTCATCAGAAATTTAGTAGTTTGGCTAATTAATATTGGTAAAATACACAATTCTTGCCCTATCAAGACCCCAGAAGTTAACTACAGTTGAGAGTTAATAATTCAAAAAAAATAACGGTTGTAATTTATCCACTTTGTTGCATTGATAAGAGAAATTATGAGTTCTCAGTACTCCATTGAAAACCCCGATTCACACATCAAAACAGTTGTAAAAAATATTGATTCGACCCAGGATCGAACTGGGGACGTTCTGCGTGTTAAGCAGATGCCATAACCTACTAGACCATCGAACCAAGTGGGAATGGTGATATCTCTGGGATTCGAACCCAGGCCTCCGAAGAGACCAGGACCTTAACCTGGCGCCTTAGACCAACTCGGCCAAAATACCTTTTCCTTAACTCTCTAAATTAACGTGATCTAAAACCCATTATTTTACTAAGTACCTGGCATCAAGTCTGAGTTTTTAGCAAAACTTTAAAGGCAAAAAAACTGATTAACAGAGAGAAATCAGCAAATCGCGATCTTCAAATAACTTGGACGCTTTTGACTTTTCTTAAGTAATTAATAACCGTTAAATTTTTTTTTCTTAATTATCCGGGTAAGAGCAAAAATCCCTGCAACGCCCCCAAATATCTCTCCTGGAATTGCCTAAGTCATTAAAAACGCTCAGGTAGCCTTTGCTAAAGCAATATTACACTATAGCTCAATTATTTAAATAATATTCCGTTTAATACTGACTTTTTAACTATTAATCGCTAGGAAATTCTGTAAGTCAACCAAAAGGGGTTCCCCAAATACTGTATCTTTTTGCTATTTAGACGATGTGAGTGACTTCCCCAAAAAATTAACCCTTGAATCAAGTGTGATTAGTAGACAAAAACAATAGCGTCGCTCGGTTTCGATCCGAGGTCCCTTGGGTTATGAGCCCAATGCGCTTCCGCTGCGCCACGACGCTATGATATATGCGGTTTCAGTGGATCGAACACTGGACCTTCAGATTGACTGAACTGAAGTTTTTGCTTCAGTCTGACGCTCTCCCAACTGAGCTAAAACCGCATGTTATTGAAGAGAAGCTTTATACGGCAACTACATGTTTGACAGAATTTGAATTTTTTAGAGTACCTTTTGCGTTACTAAAGTTGTTAAAAAGTTCTGAATTTGAAGCAGGTGTGAGACAGGACAATAATCACGACAGCAAAAAGTATCCTTCAATATAGTCTGAATTATACATTGTTTAAGCTAAAGTTACTTTTATAGTCACCCTCATGAATAATAAACAATGTAATTGGTGCATTTAAGTAACGTAAAACAGGCAGTTCATGAGACAAAAAAGAAAAAACATGAGATTTCGTCATTTTTTTTGTAAGGTTAATTTTGCTCATCATCGAGTTAAGAACTCTGAGAGTGGTGCATGAAACACTTTAATCATTAAAACCCATGAGGAGATGGCTCTGGAGACCTAGTCTGACGCGAAGTCATGCATGGTTCCATTTAAACCGAAAATTTGATTTATGATCTCTAGCGGATTCGAACCGCTGATCCTTGCGTTATTAGCACAATGCCTTAACCAACTGGGCCAAGAGATCGAATATAATAGAGTTCCGTTTTTAGTTCAACCCATGGCTAGCAGCTTTCATAAGTCCCAGTGAAAAGACTTTCTTAGTTTCACTTTTAGACGTGAAACCATTGCGATGTGAGCTCATTGAAAGTCAATGTGCGGTATGGCTTACCATCCCACAGCGAACTCCACTCTGCCAAGCGACTGGCTTGGCTAGGATCGCACTAGTAATGTTAATAGGGTCTTGGCCCGGTCTAAAGCATGTCATCTTGCAAATTCTGCTACGGGCTATTGCTGACCAACGTGCAGGTTCGAAAGGTACATGCACTACACCCGTTGGCACTTTAGCGCCTAGTTTTTGTTATTTTGACGTCGATCGACGTCATTCTATGGGTCCACTCCGTTGATATATTTAAAAATGGCATATCGTGACCATTGATACCAGTGGATCGTTCGTCTAGAAAGGCGAAGAAAACCATTGCCAATAGTCGGGTCTGCCGTTTTCCACAAGCCAAATCCAAATTGAAATCCAATAGCAGGAACACAGAAAAAATCTCTGAAACGAATAAGGTGAAACACTAATTGTGAGAAAACCCTGAGAAAATCAAGATGAAACTGCTAAAATTGGAGAATTTATTAAATCTACTTGTTCATAGTACTGCTCTAAAAATAACTTCAAACAATCTCCGCCGCAGTGTCCGCAGCAAACCGCAACGCGGCTTTTGTAGATGACTAAGCAATAAAAGTGCCACGTAAGGCATGACTAAACGATGCCTGTCACTAATTTGGGTAATTTTACTATAATACCAGATTTTTTCCCCAAGCAAGTGGAGATGTCAAAGTCACCGTTTGGAACACTGCTGAAATTCTGCAAAAAGTTACGCTTCGACCCTTGTTCATTTGTTTCTTGAGTATTTGTTTGTTGTCTTTTTGATATAGATTCTCAACACCATTTGGATTTGTACCTAGTTTGTACAGCGCTGTTTTTTTGTGTAACCTTTCTTGGCATTTCCGACACCGCTTGGCTTCATTCTTTGTCAACCGTCCTCCTCCCATTCCCTCCACTCTACGTCGGCTCCTTTTGACTACTTTTAGAGGCCTTTTTTTTGATTTTGGTCCTTCTTTTTTCCAACGATCAAGTACCGCTGTTATTTTTTTCATTTGCATTGCTCTCTAATATTATCCAGCGCTGATTTCTCGTCTTTTTATACCCTTTTTATATTTCATCTGGACCGTATAGTTGTACGCCTCCTCCTTGTTTTATCCAATTCACATTCACTAAAATGGTATGCTTTTTCTTTGTCTTTTTCTCCTTGTTTTTCTTTATGTAGTAAAGTCTTTTTGGCCTTGTGCTTTTATCACTGGTCTAATTTTAGTCGGTGTTGCTGTTGAAAACTATCAGAGTTGTTATTAACATATTTTATTTTAGGAAACACGAAACTTGACTGGTGCTAATCGTGGCGCCTCTAGTGTGGATTACTCGTCATCGTCGTCGGATAACCAACACTCCCACGACCCCCATGGCCGATATAGCCATGATGAAGAGGAAGGTTTTTATGCGCACGACTCAGATTCTATAGACCAGCCCTATGAAAATCCCTTTGCTTCGGAAAACGCTAGTCCCGTTAGATCATCTCTCTTCAATAACGGCCAGTTGTTGCCGCCTAATAATAACGCCTATGGTGAAAGCTTGAGTTCCGAATCTCCAGCCAGCTCTTTACAAGATTATCAATATCGTAACGGTAAACCCTATTTTGGCGGTAATGGGTACTCTAATAATTCGTCAGCCCGTGATCTCTATTCTTCGTCCGCCTCACTAGCAGGTGCCAATGGAATGGTGTCATCAAATTTTGATCGTTATCCGAACCGTATTAGTTCTGCTGCCCCTTCTTTATCTTCTGCTGCCGCCCCCTTGTTGCGAGGCGCTGGCGATATTAACAATGTCAATACTCGACATGCTGGTACTGGAGGCAGTCCCCGCACTAACTCCATTTCAGATGCCTCAGTGTTATCCTCAAATGCCTCGGAGGATAATCCATTTGTAGTTAGTGCTGACTTCTCCCCATTTGGTGGCTACCCGGCTTCATCGTTCCCATTGCATATCGAAGAAAAGGAGGCTGATGACTACTTACATAACCCAGATCCTATCCTGGACGCTAAATTTGACCGAAAATGTCATCGACTAGACCGTCGGGGATTCTTTGCTGTTGCTTCACTGGCGCTCCTGGTGGTTGGTGCTATTGGTATTTTTATCATTCTTCCCGTATTGACATTTACCGGTAAAGCTTCACCCCATGGCCAGGTGAAGCCTACTACGTACGAAATTCTGTCAAACTATCAGTATAGTACATTAGGAGCGCTCCGTACTAATTTAGTGGATGAAGATACCCCCACTGAAGCTCTGACCCGTGAAGCTAAGGATGGCGCGGACTGGGTGTTGGTGTTCTCCGATGAATTTAACAAAGAAGGTAGAACATTCTACGAGAATGATGATCAATTTTGGACTGCTGTAGACATCCATTATGCTGCTACACAAGATCTGGAATGGTACGATCCTGATGCCGCTACTACCTCTGAGGGCACTTTAAAGTTAACTTTAGACGCTTTTAAAAATCATGATTTGTTTTACCGCTCAGGTATGTTACAATCTTGGAACAAAATGTGCTTTACGCAGGGTATAATTGAAATTTCGGCCAAACTTCCCGGTCGCGGTGATGTCTTGGGTTTGTGGCCCGGTCTTTGGACGATGGGTAACTTGGGTCGTCCGGGTTACTTATCCACCACTGATGGTGTCTGGCCTTATTGTTACGACTCTTGTGATGCTGGTATTACTGCTAACCAATCATCTCCTGACGGTATATCTTATTTACCTGGTCAGCGTCTTAATAAATGTACCTGCTCAGGCGAGGAGCATCCCAATCCCGGTGTTGGCCGTGGTGCGCCTGAAATTGATGCTTTGGAAGGTGCTAACAGTGATAAAGTTTTTACTGGTACCGCATCACAATCAGCACAGATTGCCCCCTTTGATATCTGGTATATGCCAGATTACGAGTTTATTGAAATCCATAACAAGTCCGTAACAGCCATGAATACCTACGCTGGTGGTCCCTTCCAACAAGCTATTTCTGGCGTAACCATTCTTAACAATTCGTGGTACGCTGAATCTCAAGAAAAATATTACCAAAAGTACGCATACGAATATCTCAACGATGATCAGAACGGGTATCTGCGATGGTTTGTAGGAGATGATCCCACATTCACCTTATATCCGCAGGCTTTAGGACCCAACGGTAACATAGGTCAACGTTCGATTTCTAAGGAGCCAATGTCAATCATTATGAATTTGGGTCTATCGAATTCTTGGACGTGGATTAATTGGTTGGCCTTGAAGTTTCCCTACCAACTAGAGATTGACTACGTGCGTATCTATCAACCAAAGGATCAAGTATCGATTACTTGTGATCCCGATGATTACCCGACCTTTGACTACATTGAAGAACATATGAATGCTTACCAGAACCCTAATTTCACCCATTGGACCGATGCTGGTTACGCATTCCCCAAAAATACGCTAACAAGTAATTGTAAAGCTTAAAAGTAGTTTTAGTTTAGTTTTTTCTTAATTTTTTCTCATATATATATGTTTGTGAATAAACATATTTTTTTAAGTATTGAAATGTTAATTAAAGCATGTGTCATTTTAATCGAGTCATTTTAATAATGCTGACGAGTTCGTTTAATGTTTATTTTTTACCTACGTGATTGGCGGCAACTGTTTAGGGAGGTTACCGCACTAGAATAAAGCTTAATCTTTTTCGACGTGCTTTGAAGATTGAAAAGCGTGTAGCATAGATAAGAAAACAGGAATTGTGGTATGCTAATTTCTATTATTATTATTACAAAACTAAATATAGTCTAAAATGCACATATATTACAATAACCAGCTGGTTAGTAGGAATCTATACTTTTGAAAGAGTAATATTAACGTTTATTGTAGTTAAGATACCTGGCAGCCAAGAGGAAAATAACGATGTTAGACCCCACAAAGGCGATTAAAATGCCAAGGTCTCTCCAGCGATTATCCCAGGAATAGTCAAGTGTCGCCAGGAAATCATCACCAACCTTGAATCTACAATATTGACAAAGACCTTCAGCGGCCGGATTACGGAGGTATCCGCCGGCGGATGCCAAAAAATCGGCGGCATATTCGCCACAGGTTTGGCCGGCGGGAGACATAAAAGTCAAAAATTCCTCTTCGCTACAATGAACAGGCAACTCATGCAGTTCTGTGACCACCATACCAGCGATCAATCGTGTCATGGGGTTTAGCTGATATAGCCATTTGAGGCCAGAAATAATGGATGGATAAGGGATGGAGACACCCGAAAAGAGTGAAAAAATGGTGGTAAGGAACGGATTGATCTTAGAAGCTACAGTAAATGATGGGGTTAGCGCTGCGAGCGCTTGGGCTAAAGTGACGGCAAAGCATTCTGCGACC